CCCTGTACCCAAGCCATTCAGCTCCCTAAATAAACTAATAAACGCATAAACTAGCTACAGAGAGGACGGTGAAAGGTTTTTATGCACACCAAATAAATACAATACATTTGAATATGATGTAACTATGAAAATATTGAAAGCTATTTGAATGTAGGCTGTACTTGGACCAAACGTATTAGTCTGTACTGGGTGTCTGGTGTATTGTTTTTTCTGTTCACTTTCTAAATTTGTGTTATTGCGCTAATCTTTACTAATCATTTTAAAGGTAAATGCCCAATTAATATGTCCTAAATAATGACTGAACAATGAAATTTCTGGATTTCACGGCAATCTGCTTCAGACTTGTTGAAGTGTCTTAGGTGGGAAAAGTGGTGGACTGGCCAACCAAAGTGCCATTCTTTAATTTAGCTGATATACTGTAAATATTAAACTGATCTATTAATATGATTTCTGACTAGCTTCTCTGACACACCTAAGTACTGTAGTTCACTGATAACCGCCAATCTGACCCACTGCATGACTCAGATACAGCATTATATGGCGCTTCCGTGTCTGCCCTTTGAAAACACTCATCGATACAATTCTTCGCTCACTTATTGTATGCTTAAAACACTCAAACAGCCACTGTGGGATCAATACTGGGATTTGCACACAACACACACACAGTTACTGCTCAGGTGGTCCAGGTTTGCTTCCCGAGTTTTCCCTCAGTTCACAGCTTCAGCCTGTGACAGGGACATCACTGTCTCACTCTGATAACATAGAGCAGCTTAATGTTTAGCCCAAGACCCAAGCACATGCACACACACACACACACACACACACACACACTAGAGAGCTAAGAGATTACAAAGGCACAGAGACACATATGCCGACAAGCAATGGAGATGAGTAAACTCAATGTGAGGCGAATGCGAGGTAACGATCAAGGTGAGTTATAACTGCTAATAGCATTTTAAAATGTGTAATGACTGAAGAAGAAAAAACTTGAGGTGGTCCTACCTGCCACTGCATCTTTATTTCTTCTGCACTGAGTGAAGAAGCAAAGTGATGGAGTTCAATTCTGTACAGATGGTAAATTATTACTGATTGTATTGACTGGGAAAAATAATTGACCGTGAAAGTCGCCTAGCTGATATTTATAGCAAAGTGAAAACTTGTTGAAGTCAGTCCAAGCCTTTAATTTGCTAAGTAGGGCTATTAGCCTGTTAATCCACACGAGAGCCTGTCAGCTGTGCTGCGTGGCCTGAGAATGAGCGAGTGAATTCATTTTGAACTGAATAATGTAAGGAACAAAATTCAACAAAATTTTCTTTCTCTTAAAATTTTAAGATTTTTTTTATCTGGACAGGAAAATGCTGGCAAGGTAGATTAATGTTAAACACGCTGTTTAATATATTAATAGACTTAACAGCCTTCGACACCCGTTCAAGAAATTATGAAAACAGGATTTATTGCTCAGACTTTACAATTTCATGAAAGAGAGTGTTGAATAATGTAATTAAAAGGAAGAAAAATGTCTTTAAAACAGACTTTTATCCGTAAATAATCTGATTACTTTTCAGAGCAGGAAGCTATTTCCATCTATGGTTGAAGTAATTTATCATTTCATTTTTTTCTGATTTTGATCATCTTACTTTACATCCATTAAAAACAAAAGAGTGAGAGACATAACCCATAATCCAGAGACATTATGAGAAAAAAACGTGGCACAGAATAGTTTGCTGAAATCAGTAAACTTTTTAAGTTTGGCTTTTAATAAATGTAAATCATCTCGATAGAATTTATAATACAAAAGCTTGAACCTTCCACAAAAAATAAGAAAATAGGAAGTGAAAACTAAACTATAGTCTTTGAACTTTGGTTAATTAAGGCTAGCTGTTACCCTCAGCTAAAGTTAATATTTTGTAAATATTGTTTTCTGATGTTCACTTCAACATATTTTGCATTTAATTTGTTTCACCACCCAAATATTAATTTTCAGTGATATTTCTGACCAGGCGGCATCTTCCTTTAAAACCTCATTTCAGTCCATGTAGCACATACGTGTGTGTGTGTGTGTGTGAGTGAATGTACATATATATTCGTATTTGTACATGTAAATGCAAGTATGTGTACGTGTATGTATTGGTTTGCTCTATATGTCTGAAATAAAGATACAATAACAATATATGTAATACTGTACAGTCAACCTACAGGCTGACTGAACAGTGTAGAACAGCTGGAGACAGAGAAGGGGGGGGGGGTTAGTCTGACACAACCCAAAACGAACGTAAAGTCTTATAAAAGTCAGCAATTATTATAATTTTTATTTTTATTCTGTACAAAGTCTTTCAAATAAAAACACTTTATGGGCAATTGGCTGTCAAAGTCATTCTTGTCTGTGCACAGTAAAAATTAGAAGTGAACTGAATTTATTAGTTTGACAGGTAGACAGACAAATTCAATTACATTTTTCTGTCAAATCACAACAACAGGCACCTCTAGTTACTTTGCATTATAAGGTGAAACCCTACAAAAACAGAGAGAAATCAGTTGAACAGTCTTACTGCTAAGCTGAGCTAAATATCTGGATGCCCTTAATATTTACAGCAAAGAAATGAGAGCACTCATCTAATTTATTCTCATTATTTATTAGCCCAGGCTTAATCTGTTTACTCTAAACTATTAAAAATCTTTGAAAAGTTTTTTTTTTT